TGATGTCACATACACATGGCAGAAAGATGGCACTGATATTGATATAGATGGTAGATATACACTGACTGATGGATCATTGACAGTATCTAATATTGAGAAATCTGACTATGGTACATATACTTGTATTGCTGACAACGGTGTAGGGTCAGGAGACTAAAAATCAGCTGTTCTGACAGTTAATTGTGAGTACAGTTAGTACAACTAATTTGTTGGTTGTTACTTATTATATTAATTGTAATGTGAGAGAAATATTGACCCTGACCAAGGATGATATACAGAGGGCAACAAGGATTTTTGAGGGTCAACAAATCTGTTTATCGACTGTGGCTGAGGTACACATTTTTATTATTATCCAAAATAAAACAAACATTGTGTAAAAGCCTGCACTACAAGATTTCTTTTGCTCCACTTTCTAAGGACAACATTCAGAATTTTACCCATTATATATATTCCAAAATTACTTTCTAAAATTACTGTCATGTTCATTGTGTCGGTATGAACTGTCTATGAACGACCGTCTGACATTATAGAAGCTGTGATGTTTACACGTACATGTACATGCACACACTAACAAAAACAGCACACTACACTGGACCGGCCACACAAATGCAATACAACAACTCGTTTTTGTTAAATGAACAATTTAATGAAACCCACATGTACATTTTGGATGTATATTAAATATTAAATAAATAGTAAATATTGTCACGATGTCGGGTAAAATATTAATCCGAAACGCCAAATTATTTAAAATATTTTCACAACCCGTGTGCCGGTTTTTAACCAATATAAAATTAAACAATTGGTTAAATACAGGGATAATTTAAACTATTGGGACTAGTATAGTTCAATACAATTATGTGCCTACATAATTAGAAGCAATAATGAAAAGCGGTCAATCTTACACATCCGACACGTGAAACTGTAGTTTACTAGGTACACAAAATACATTCTTTGGCACAGTTCTCGTATCGCCCGTGCAGCACTAAACTCGGGTCCACCATGTACCACCGCAAATACCCGACTGATAAGAGGTTGGGGTTACGAAAATACCCACTATAGGCACCACATCAAGGTGTATGTGTTGGAAAGTTCCGTACTTGACGTTTTCTGACATACATCGAATTTTATCAGTCGGCGTCGTAGCCCCAGTGAAATTTACGGATCCAGCGACTTTAGTTCACAAATTAAAGCGTCCATATCTTCCTTCCTAGTTGGACTTCAGACTTCTCGTACTTTGATGTTAAACGCCGGGTTCGGCTATGAAAGGACATGGATCTGATTGTTTCCAGGCGTGACATCTGGGTCACATCACATGACGTACTTTCTGTTCGTGTAGTGTCTACCTACTGGGCTATAGAACCTGCCTCTAGTTATGGGATGTTGACAATTTATACTTTTATAACAAATAAAAAAATACATAATCTCATCTCCTGCACACAACGCGTAATACAATCAATATAATAGATAAAGTATGCAAATTTTCGTTCCGTTTCAAAAATAATTCGTTTCTTATATACGACCCAGACGCCTCGTGATAAATATCACATACGTTGTCTTGGTATTCCATCAGTCTGCCGCCACACAATAAACATATAACTTGAATGAATCAACATATGACCAAAAAGAAACCTGACTACTCACAGCATGTAAACTATCCGAGCTAAGTGTAAAGCAATGGTTTAAAACAGTAATATTATGGATATTTTGGATTGTTATATTGATGCCGACCTTGTCATGTGGTTATTAAGTTTTTTTAAAGTCTCTAAAGTAATCCCACCATTTATTTGATTATCAGTCAGAGCCCAGAGATATTATATGATCAAAAGGTTCTGTTTCCTGAGGTTTAGATGTTTTCAAAAATAATACACAGCCGGTTTTATAACTAACTGCAACCATCCTTAATTAGCTTCAAAATTTAATATTGCACATATTTCTTCTACAAATTCTAATTTATTTTTAGAGTGTGATGCATAAATAACCTTTGCCGACAAAATATTATGACGGTAGATATAGGCATTTATACGTGTTTTTGGCGATTTGAATTACAGCCAACTTTTCGAATTATATCTAATATGACATTACTGGTCCGATTACAAACAAATATCTTGGGCGACACGTTCATTCGTTTCATGAAGCGATTCACGATGGCCGAATGACAGCCATTGTTGTCTTTCGAATTCATCAAAATAATACTTGTCCGCTATGCCCGATTCATAATGGCCGACTGGTGATCATTTTGTTTCTATGAATGCTGTTTCTGAGGCATATCTCCGACAATATTGATCAATCAAACTTATTTCAAACATCACACATACAATTGTTTGATGATCAATTTCAGATAGCTAAATGGGGTTCATTTTAATGTTAACAATTCATGAAAATCAACCATTCCGGACAGGATCTCGGTTGTTTATAGGCCGATTTTGTTCAAACATGGTATAAACATTAGACAATTTGATGCCCGGATGCAAGTCATGATAATCAAAATGACGACTCGTGGCCATTTTGTTTAAGTGAATGCAGTT